GATCCATTTGGACTTGAGTTTTGTACATGGTGATAGATATGGATCTATTTGCATTCTTCTACTTGTTGATGTCCAGTTATGCTAATACCATTTCTTGAATATGCTTTCTTTTTTTCATTTTATATTTTTAGCTTCTTTGTCAAAAATCAGGTGTTCATGAGTATGTAGATTGATATCCGGGTCTTCTATTAGATTCCACTGGTCCTCTTGTCTTTTTTTTTTAATGCCAATACTAGGCTGTTTTGATTACTGTAACTCTATAGTAGAGTTTGAAGTCAGGGATAGTTATGCCTCCAGAAGTTCTTTTATTGTACAGGATTGTTTTGGCTAGTCTGGGTTTTTTGTTTTTCCTTGTGGCGTTGAGTATTGTTCTTTCAAGGTCTGTGAAGAATTTTGCTGGGATTTTGATGGGCATTGCATTGAATCTGTAGATTGCTTTTGGTAAGACTTGTATTTTTACTGTTTATTCTACCTACCCAAGAGCATTAGAGATCTTTCCATTTTCTGGTGTCTTCTTCAATTTCTTTCTTTAGAGACTTAAAGTTCTCATCACACAGGTCTTTCATTTGTTTGGTTAGAGTTACCTCAAGATATTTTATGTTATTTGTGGCTGTTGTGAAGGATGATGTTTCTCTGATTCCTTTCTAAGCCCTTTTATCATCTGTGTAAAGAAGGGCTACTGATTTTTTGAGTGAATCTTGCATCCTGCTATTTTTAAGATGCAACTTTAACAAGTAGATATTAAGGGAGATACTAAGAAAAACTTTAAAAGGAGGGAAAGGTGAAGACTAAGATATGACAGTTTTAAAATTTGTATGTATGCTTAGAAAGAATATATGGTTTAAGTTCTGTCATATCAGTAAATACATTCATTAGATTAACTGTCTGGTGTTGAATGAAGCTATTTTGAATATCATCTTCCATAATTATTTTACTTTATTTATTTCAAACATGGGTACATTTAGTTCACTACATATGAATATAGCATCTCATGGTTTCATTTCCTGCAGTCAATTATTTCGTGTACGAGTAGAGGCTGCACTATGCCACCAGCACAGTTCAGTGTGACCCCTCTCCTATTGCATCATGTTTTCAAAGCACCCAAAGGGGTAGCTTCCAATAGAAAACTGACACTTGATGGTTTAAAAATAGATTTGCTGTAAAAATAACATTCAAGGGACCGCATACATTCCTGCTTCTGACTTTGCTCTACCTTCCACTTGCTTTCTATGTTACTCGTCTGTCTTTTCCTGCATTTTTTTCCAGATCTTTGTTGAAATGTCACCTTTTCAGGACCCACCTGGAAACTTTGCTAAAATGCTCTACCTTTCATCCCATTTCCTCCAATTCCTTCCTATTTATCTTTGTAATATTCCTGGCCGCTTGACATACTTCATGTCTGTTTCTCTTCCATCAACTAGGATTAGCGTAAGCTCTAGGGAGGAGGCATTAGTTTATACTGTGACCGCAAGTAAAGCAGCAGGCTCCAGGAAAGAGGCGAGTAAAGAAATGCATGCATGAGGTTCCTTTTCCAAGTGCTTTCTGACTTCTGTGACGGGCTCAGCAGGTAAAAGCACATGCCATCAAGCCTGGCAACCCAAGGTTGATCTCTGGAATCCACGCGTAGGTAGGAGAGCACCAGCTCCACAAAGATTTTGACTTTTGCATGTGCACTGTGGCTTGTGACCCTCCATCATGGGCTCTCACACAGGGTGAAATAAGTAGAATGATAATTGAGAAAGATTTCACAGTTATATTTATCAATATGATTCCAGTTTTGTGACAGTTTCTTCTATTTTATATGTATGTGTTTGTGGTGTGCATGCTCGCTTTTGCCTGTGTGTGTATGTGGAGGTCCGAGGTTGACACAGGGGTCTCCTCAGTCACTCCCCATTGTTCTCATTGAAGTTGGGGTCTCTGAATTGAGCCCAGAGCTCCCAGGTACGGATAGTAGCTGCACAGCTGGCTTTAGCCAGTGGGCCCTCCCCGTGGCCCTTTATGATGATTATTTTGAACAAAAAAATTATTTGGACTATTAGCATTTTCTCTCATTGTTAATTTCAATTCATTTATAAATCAGATCATGTAAATCAGAGGATAAAACAATTTTATTATTGTTCCTATTGCGTGTATTTGTGCTATATATGTGTGTGGGCGTATGTACCGTGATGTGCATGTGGAAGTCAGAGGTGAGGCTGTGCAATTGGTTCTCTCTTTCCACCTTTACATGGCTTTGAAGAGTGAACTCACTCAAGTCCTCAGGCTTGGGCAGAAAATACTTTATCAACTATCATCTTGCTGGCCCTCATTGCTAATTTTGTCCTGAAATTAATAATACTGTATTTGTGAGGAGAAGGGCAAAATCTTAGGCATTAGTAATTAGAAAATTACAAATTCAGAAAATTAATTTGGTTTTAGAATCTATTTATGTGTTTATTTATTTATTTTTGGCAGGTTGCGCAGGGGCGGTTTAGAAACTTCAAGTCAGTTTATTTTTCTTCATTTGCTTTCTTTGCATCTTCATTAGGCAACACATTAAAATTTGGCCTTATTCTCTTAGTGTACTAGAGGAGATAATTAGAGCAAATGAAACTTCTGAAATAATTGTTGTCAGCAAGGAGTACTTGTGACGAGCACCCAAATGTTCTAAAGCATTTAGGAATACCTCTGGCCTCCAGGTCACACAGGTCCAGTGGTGTGAATTCTGTCCAATGCTGACATGTTAGATGCCTAGTTTTTAGCAGATGGGTGCCTCCAAGATTATCTAAAAAGAAAACTTCTTGCAAAACATTGCAACCCTTAACTTAATTCCTATCATCCTATGCCAAAAAGAGATATTGATTTGTGAGATATGAGCTTTCGGCCCATGCATGAGTTGAAACAAGGAACACCTGGTCAGCTGGTAAAGTACTTGTTGCATACAGGTCATCATAGCTTTCGTTGGAAAGGATCTTATCCTCAGGGGATCATCTTTTTTCCTACTTTCTCTAATATATATGGCCATATCCAACCATTTTTGAGTGACTTTGTATGCAGCCTAAAGTAGATCTATCCCAAGGTAAAAGCAAGTAAGCAAATAAATAAATTGCTCACATAAGATAGATAACCTTTGGTTTTCAGGTTATCAGCTTTAAGTATATTACCCATTGCCACTTGATACAGATCCATCTCAACAATATTAACATTCGTCCTTGGCTGTGGCTTGACGGATATTTTTGAAGGCAGGCATCTTTTATATATTTACAATTTAATTGATACTGAAATTTTTAGTGCTTCTATAATGTTTTAGTTTTCTTTGACTGCTTTGTGGATCACTACCCACATTTTCTACTCCCTTGTTTCCCTTTTTTTCATTTGAACTTTTAAAATGCTGTATAATTTTGGCAATTATTTTTTCATTTTTCAAGAGGTGTTACAGTAGACAGGTTAACAGCTTTGCTTTGGAACCAGACCTCCCGATTTGAATCTCAGCGTACTGTTTATGACTTACACCATCTTGGCAAATTAACTTTCAAAGGTAGGCAATGGCAGTACTGCTTCATGGAGTCAGTAAGATTAGATGATTGAGCCCATGGAAAGTTCCAAATGACTCCTGACACATAGTAAGCAAACAGACATTGCATATTGATCTTTTTTTTCTGCAACATCAGCTTTGTTCACCCTTGTTATTCACCATGGCTCAGTGTTTCAGGATGCTGAAACACTTTTATCCAGTTTACCTTGAATAAATTGTACAGCGAATACAATGAGCTATTTTGCAAGCAGCTAAGACAACGAGGCAGGTCTACATCTATTAACCAAGGAACTACTAATGCTATTCTTGGGGTGGTAATTTGCAGCTCTACCTTCCTGTCATAAATTTAATGTTTAAAAGCTGTATCCATATTAAGACAGTTCTTTGTAAACAAAAATTATTGAAGAAGGTATGCATTTGAGAATGGGTGGAGGAGAGTCTTGAACCCTTGAACTTCCTCTTGTATATGACTTTTTAAAGTGTTGTACTATGCACACAATACTCTTTTTGTACAGCTCAGAATTTTTAAAACATTGAAAGAAGCTTCCTTCTTTACTTGTGTTAAGTAGGCACTGTAAAGACAGTCCACATACTTTTCATGTGTGTTTTTAAAACCAGATTTAGAGGAATAAAGTCAGATAAAGCAGGAGGACTTTTATGTACTCAGTGAGTCAAGGATCATATTGGTATTATTTTCAATTATTTTTGTTTGAGTGGATTAAGAAATATGTTAGTTAAAAATGTCCATTCATCTACAAGTACACAGGTATTGAACACAGCCTTACAATATCTGAGTTACTCTGAAAATGACAGAAAATTTCAATAGGTAAAATTTAAAATAAGGCAGAAGGAATAGGAATTTGAATTTGTGTATATACAAATCTGTGGTTTTCGTATTTGAATAATATTTGCCAACAAGTAAAAGTGTAACCTCTTCTATTTAAGGCTGTGTGCCAGCCACTCGCACTATTAGCTCACTAACACAGTCCTGGACACTTAATGCAGCAAGCGTGTGTAGCACGCACCTCTCCATCTATTTGTGATTGAATGTACATCCTTGGATGTCAGCCTGCCATAATTTACAGAAAATAATCTTGAACTCTTCTGTAGTTACTTTTCAATGGAGATTATTTTTCTCATTTCTGATACTTGTTAGTTCTCCCGCAAAGCTTTATTTGCCATAATGCAATCAACATCCCTGACCCGCATATCTTTGTGGTTAGTGGATAGAAGGCCAGTATTTAAATTTCTTTGAGGTCTCTCGCTGAGTGGCATCACAGGATGAATTGCTCTTCAGGAGGGGGAACGTGCTTGTGGTTTTTGGTCCTGTGTATTTTATGACAAAGGAATTCCCTTTTGAATCGCGCTGCTCCCCTGAAGCCCTGGAGGCTCTGGTTCAGGCAGCCGGCAGTCCGTGTGTGCAGTGTCCCTGACGTCATCCGGCGTATGCATAAGCCCTGCTATTGTCTTACTGCTACAGCAGGCGGAGGATTGCAGTCTGTGCTGCTCTCAGACCTGCCCTGCCTGCGCTACCTAGCCCTGTCTCACTGCATCCCACAACAGCCGCGCTGGTCTTCCTGTGCCTGGCGGATTTTGAAAAGCAGCTCTTCGGTTTGGGATGGTGTAGGAGACCTTGCTTTCCACTCTCCGGAGAAAGCTGAAGCTCTTAGGGAAGAATCTGGCAGCTGGACATAGCTCGGACTGCATTGTCTGGCTTCATGACCCCCGCTGTGTAGCCAGCTCATCTCCTTGCTCTCAGGAGCACATGCACATCTTAACGTTTTCTTACTTCCCTTTTTCTTTTCTTTCCTTTCTTCTAATTTTTTTTAAAGCAGCTTCTGGAGCCAGCCATGTTTGGTACTGAATCCTCATGTAAGTAAACGGATCCTACTTCTCCTATAGAATCTGTGTGCTGTCAGGGCTTCACTGGCTTGAGTTCATGTCACTCTGCGTTAGGTTAATAATATTTGCATTTGCCTCTAATTATAGAAGAATTGGTCTTGGGCAGGAGACTTCCATGAAGAGGGTTATTCATTCTTAAAGCTAGGCATGCCAATGTGGTCAAAATGAGGCCTCCAAGAGGGAGGAGGTAAGAAGACAGGACTCAGGGAGCCTCCCAGACCCTGCTAATTGATGAGATCAGGCCTGTCACTGATCCATTGTCAGAGGCTCCTAATGTCCTCAAACCCTAAAATAGGTGCTAGAAGACTCTGAGATAACAGTGCTTGTAAGATAAGGGCTTATAATTTTCATTCAAGGAGAGATAAAGGTGTCTGTATATCTTCCTCCATATTTTTACAAGAACACATGGGTAGATACTACATGTAGATTTAAGAACAATAAATAGCTTTTTACTTGAGACAGAGTGCTTTCATGACGGTTTCAATTTTGATGTATTGGCTAACATCATAGAACGACAGCTTTGTATACGTTTTAAACTCATACAGTAAAATTGCTTTGGTGCAGAGCGGGCCCTGCACAGGGGGCTGGGGTGAACAGCGGTGTAGACACACTAAGTAACTGTTTTTAAAATGATGATATTCTACCTAGCTGAGAACGATTTAATGTCTGATGTAAAGTAACATAGCTTGTCAGAGAGGTTGTCCAGGCTCCGCAGAACATTTTGCCACCATCTGTAAGCAAAGGTGACAGTTACAAATGTCTAGAGGTTTGACCTACTGGCCTGGCTTTGCAGGGGAGATGGGGGCTGGGTTAAGACAGGACATTGAGGAAATCTATTTCTGATGAATTTGTAATTTGACCTTAACTTTCTGGTCACTGTCGTCCATGTGACTGTTGGGGAGGTGCTGATTATTGTAGGAGACCAGCATTTGAAGAGCACTAATAGCCCTCAGTTCTTTTGTTTCGTGACTGGTTTTAAAAAGGCTCATTTTTGTTTTATTGCAGAAGCCTCCCATCTCCAGTGCTACCATATTTTGTAATCAAGTTTAAGACAGACAAGTAGTGAGATTTAGTATCCATTCAACATATGTTTCCACTAAACACATGTTTAATAATTTGAAAGTATTTCAAAAAATATTTAATGGTACATTCGGAATTCTTGTCGTCCAAGAAACAGATCATTCAGTGGTAGAGATCTCCCAGTTTCTCATTTCAGTAATGGAATTTAATTGATGTAAGACACTAGGTGAGGGCAGAAATAATCATACTGTGTATTAAAGGAAAATTAATGCTGTTAGTGGCATTTGAAATGCATTGTTGGGCTCTTATACTAGGGTCTCTTCCATTGTCTGGCCTGTTTTTCCAAATAGACAGTTTTTTTTTTCATTATCAAACCTTACCTTTTGATAGTCTTACCAATGTGCTGTCTGTTATGTCTGAAAAACTGCTTTTGGTCTCCATAGTTACCATTATGGAACAGAACTGAATGCTCCTCAGCAAATAGAACACTGTCATGCAAGTTCTTGGCATTTTTTGCTTTTACCAAAAAGCTTTTTGCTTTGACTGTGGATTGATTTTTATCTTTGGCTTGTCACTAGAACCCCCCAGGTATCCATGCTCCCTGTGGACATTTAGGATTGGAAATGATTGTCTTCTTTTAGATGAGGAGGTACCTTGTGCAAAGTGTGTCTGAGCTGAGTGTGGTGCTTCCTTTGTAGTGATAGCCCTTCACCTTTGTTACTTCACCTTGTAGCGATAGCCCTTCACCTTTGTTACTTCACCTTGGGTGTTGTTTTGTGGGCTTGAAAACGCTCCACATTCAGAATGTGCAGGAATAGTACTCTTTGAAGTTTTAATTAGTTTGGAAGGAGCCTCCGAAACCACTTTTGATGCTTACAGAACTGTCTTAGGAAGCCTTTATCCACCTTGTTTGCAGTGGGTAGTAGAGCCTGGACACACTAGGAGAAGCTTCCTGCAGAGATGGTGTGAGTCTTATTCCTGATTTCAGGCTGCTGTGCCCTATTTGTATCAGATTTTCTATTTTAAAAATTATTTCCTTTGGTTTTCTTAGATAATAATATACTTACATCATTTCCCCCTTCCTTTTCCTCCCTTCAGTTCTTCCTGTACAAATACCCTTCCTTGTTCTCTTTCAAATTTATGATCTTTTTTCATTAATTATTATTAGCATGCATATATGTATATGTTTATGTATATATTTATTCCTAAATACTTAAATACAGCCCACTCTATCTGTATAATGTTACTTGTATATGTGTGTTCAGGGCTGACCATTGGTATTGGATACCCAATTGGTGTGCTTCTCCCTGGGGAAGACTATTTCTCCTGCTCTCAGCTTTCCTTAGTTGCCTGTTCTTTAATCTGAGGTATGATTGATGTATCATAGGATGGACAACTATTAGAATGGCTTCGTAGCATTTGTGCCCGATTTGTACTGGTAGACCCCTACCTGGATGGAGACATGGGCTGTTCTGTCTCCTCAGAAAGTATTATGCTCTTCCATTCATTATTCTTTCTCCTCCTGCCCAGTGATAATCACCATTCTGATTCATAACTTCCCAGATTCATTGTTAACAGCTTTTAAATTTTCTTTCTTGCCTTTTTGCTTTTTACGGATAAGACAAGGGAACACATCTTCATTTTTAACTTGTTGGATATATAATTTAGTTGATATTATGTCTTAGATTTGTCAGGTCCGGTGTTTGTAGTGTCCTGGGTCTACATTATTATATTTCTATCTCACCAAGATGTTGCTTATCTTACTCTTTCCTAAACAACCCTAAATAAAAATGTAAATAGTCTTATTAAATGACAAAAATTTATCTGAAAGAGCAAATGTCTTGAAAGTTAAAGACTTACAGAAATATGCAGAAATCATTAATGAATCTGCATTAATGTCGGATACAGTTCATTTTATATAATTTTTGTTTATTTTTATAATAGAAGTGGTTCAACCTAGGGATTCCTACTACCAGGCAAGCATTCTTCTATTCCTGCTCCACTAATATCATTCCATTCTCTGTCTAACAATCCTACTCCCTTCTTTCTGACTAGTGGAGATCAATTTCTTGTAGTTGAATTGACTGGCCATTGTCTCTTTAGGCCCCACTTTGAAATGAAGTTGTCTGTGTAAGTTTTAGGAAGCTCATCATGACAGAGTAGGAAGCATGATAGCTCTGAGGTTTTCTGTCACTCTGTTTCCATATTCTAAGTATTTTAATAAATGTTTCCTTTGTTGAAATTTTTCGTGTCTAAACATGGGACTAATGCTTTTATTCTTTGTTGATTTTGAATAAATCCAATTTCAGTTTGTAAGAGTCAGAGTAATTTAAGTGTAAAAAAGTAGAAAATGCTATCAATAAAGTTTTATTGAGTAAAGCAATCATTAGATGCATATTTGGAGTACTTAGCTTGATTTAATAAAGTTTATATAGAAAAATCAGTTGAATTCTACAAAATTAAAGAAAATTTTTTTTGGAAAGTTTTTAAGAGGAATTCAAAATTTTAACTTTTGTGAAGTAAAGAAAATTGGTAACAGGAGAAAAAAGTTTCTCTCTTCTTTTTATTAAATGAGGAAAACTTTGCGTTGTTGCCATTTAGTTACACTCTCCCTCGTGAAGTTGGTTATTCTTCAGAGAATAGACACTTCAACTCTAATGCACATTATTCAATTAGTATTGCCTGTGCTCAGGTCTGCACCCCCAACCTCATATCTGACTTTTTTATTTCTCAAGGGTGCCAATGAAAGGGACCGTTTAAGGTCTGCAGTGGTGGGAATTGTGCCCATTAATGTGTCTCCCAAAGCACCTGCCTCATTAGATTAGTACCTTACCTGTGGAGAAATAGGATATCCCCGAGGAAAACAGCATTCACTAAAGAGAACATTCTAGACTAAGGCAATTGTGAGACTTGGAGGACAACACCGGAGTTCTAACCAAATAGTAACTAGTGTGAGGCTCAGCCGTTTGATCTTAGCAGCAGTGAGGCGGTGGCAAGAGCTCCAGACTTACCCTTTAGTTTGCCTGCAGCGCCTTGGATGGGTAATGAGAAAGATCTGTTGGATGCTGCTGCTATAACCGATCTGTGATGGGCACCAACGTTCACATGTTGCCATTATTTAATTATAGATACATTCGTTCAGTTGGAACTGACAGCTTAGTAGTAAGAGCAGCCACGGTGCCATGCTACTGAGATTCTGAAGATTTGATTTTGAGCAGTTGTATGAGAGATAATCAAATGACTGTACCCTGTAATGTTTGGTCACGAGGCTGCTGGCACGAAGTGTGTCCCATTCCTGTATGTGCGCTGCAGGGACGCAATTGACAGCTGACTGTGTGCGAGGCTGAAATTTGCTCTGTTGTTTTACTGTAACATGTGTGAATACGTTGAAATATGAATAGGGACTATAGTTGCCTCAATTCACCTTTAAAATGGACCATTTCTCAATATAAACACCTAATTATTATTAATAGCTGTTAGAACTCATATTTTCTGTTAGCATGTTGACATTTTAGTACTATATTTATCTCCCCCTTAGTATTTGTCACGCATAGCTAGGTAATTTAGGAACACCAGCTATTTTCCTTTCTTACGACATTAATCTGGCTGCTGGTATTGAGCTATATTGGATTGACACTTTCATCTCAAAGCAAAAATAGAAACACTTTGCTGGTGTTGTACCAAACTCCCAAGTCCGCACTTAGGACATGGCTATAAAAGAAAGATATTATTGCATGGCTTAAGTAGAGTGCACGGTTAGCTAAAGTATGTAGATGTATAAAAGCCACTCTTCCTTGCAGGGATTTGTGTCGAGATACATTCACGTAGGAGCTTGGGGTGTTGAGCCCATGTCATACTTCTGACTTGCCTTACTTTGTCTAATTCCGTTCTAACAACGAGCTCTGGTGTGAGCTTTCCCTGAGATTTTTCTCTGTTGATACTTAATATTG